CTGCTCGCAGAGCTTTAGACCAAAGCGATCAGGAAGCCGGAGAGCGCGGGTCTTGTCATCTCTTTCCAGGATTGCACGGATTTGCCTTGAAAAAAGATGTTGGGGTGAATTGACTGTGTTTCAACCAGGGTTAATATTTACTCCACCTCTTTTTTTTTTCTAAAGGCAGTATTCAAAATTTGCTAAAGCAAACGTTTGAGAATGCTAATCAGGCTGGTTTTGCATTTTGTAAGGGCTGCAGGTTTAAATTGCCGTTACAATTTCAAAGTTTTAACCCCCCTGAAATTTTCAGTGGATATGCCCAGTTGAACCGTTATCTCACCCTCAAGGGTTTGCGTGCAGATTGCCACAAGCCCCCAGTGTGAATCAGGACGTGCACTGGTCATTTATTGTTCTTAACCAGGAAGGTATTTGCAAAATTGGCCTCCATGGTATTTGCATGTTGACCTATTTTTGACCAGAATGGACTGACCGTCTCTGAATCACCACCCTCCCCAAGCTGTGATGAAGGGGATGGTGAGTCCAGGTGACTTTTTCGATCTCGCCTCACGTCAGCCCGAAGCCGCAGAGCAGTCTCAGCAGCCTGTTTGGGGACATGAGGACAGAGCAGCAGTTTCAAAGCAAACCTTTCCTGATTGCTAATGAAAACATTGTACATTAATCGTGTGCATCCTGCTCCGGTCCTGCAGGGCATCTCGCAGAATGCTGGGAACTGAACGGCAGAGCAGTTTCTGTGAACTCTTTTTTTGACACTGAAACTGCCCTCCTCTGTCCTCTGACGCAGAGCGTGTCAGTATTTCAGCACAGCCTGTTGTTGTGCTTGTTTTCTTTGCATGCCTGTATGAGAGAATGCACCACAAGTTGAGGTTCTGTGAAGGTTTGCCTGCCTGCATGCCTGCATACTGAGCCCCTCAGCATCATCAGAGGTCACCTCTGGTACAGCATGAGTCTGTGTGTTCGGTAGCAAGCCTGCAGAACTGGGGAATTCATCTTATCCCACAGACACTGGTTTGCTTTAAAGCTGCCAGCTGTATCAGTTTTAATTGCATGTATTGACAAGCTCATAAGCCCAGGTCCTAGTAATGGTTATGTTCTGCAATGCCGAACCTTGATTCTTAAGGTCCTTATTAACGGTTCAGGACTTCATTAATTACATATATACTATTTTAAAATGGATTTGCATTTTCATCATGGTGTTTATATAGTATGGCCCGACGTCTTGAGTGAAGTAACCCGTTGATTGTTTTACTCATCTAAAGCTTTTATGTGATTTATAATAAGAGTGGAAAACAGCTCCCAGTTTTTCACCAGGTGAGAGGACACAGGGCTCGCGGTAGTGCAGCAGAGCTCTCTAGCCTTTAAGGTTTTCCAGTTCTGTTCAGTCAACCAGTGCTCTTGTCTTTGAGTGGATGTCTCTTTGAATTGTGAAGGCCAAAGCGTTTCACAGTCCAGGCCTGATGTCTAATATTTCTTAACCTTTAAATGACAGTGTCACCTGACCTCTAATGCTGTGTTTCTAAGTCTTGTTATAGGTCTTGTGTTGATAAATATAACTTATTCCATTGTGGTCTAAGGCCCATTGTATATCTGAATTGCATGCTGAGCAGCAATACATTTTACATGCATTTTGTTTGTTAGTTATTTTTTTCACCAGAGGCAACTACAGTAATAATATAAGTGTTATATAGATGACAAAGGATGCACTGTATTAACAGTGTAGATTGCAGGCTAATTACCATTGACAATCCCCAGGGAGACATTGAAAACAACTGTAAAACAAGTTCATGTGACTTATTGTCCTATTGTTCATTCTCCAACTAATATAATTAGTGTTATAACAATGTTAATATCAGATGTCAGGCAAGTCATACACATTTTTTGTGCTCTAAGACACTAGGTATCTACACAGTGCATTTGCAGGCAGAAGTGAATGTTGTGCAGACTTCATTTGGTGTGAAAAACAAGGTGAGCTTTGTAGGCATGTGGAGTTGGTAAGGGAGTGTGTCGGAGTGGAGTTTGGCTGGGGAGGCTCGGGCTGTGTCTCTGTGTCGGCGCATTGTGTGTGCACAGCAGTCTAAGCGCAGCGCTTGTCTGTGTCTAAATGTCTCTTGCCTCACCATTTCAGAAGAAGCCTGGTCAGTCGAATGCAGGGGGCGTCCTGTCTCCCCGATCTGCAGCCCGGCCCCTGCTTTTGAGAACCTTTTCAGATGAGTCCAATACTGTGCTTTAAACAGGTACCAGATCCCTGCAGTTTGCGGGACTGTGGCTCTGACCAATCAGAATAGATTGACCTGGCATCTGCTGGGGCACAAAACGGCGAAGAGGGTAACACAGATTGTTATTTTAGCCATCGGGCACTCTAGTTGTGAGCAGCTCTGTGAATAAGTCCAACAAAACCATGCATCACACACCCTTCCCCAGTTCACTCCATTGCAGATGTTTAATTAAACTGCATATGTCATATCTGACTGATCTATGAACAAGATGGTGGTTATCGAATCCTGTTTTGGAGTAAAGCGGAGTATTTGTTCAGACAGTGAATGAACTGTTCAATAGCATCATCTGGATTTCTTCAACTGGGGAACAGTTTCATACAATGCTAGGTGGGAATTTGCAGTCATGCAAGCTCATGAATAATATAACCAAAAGGGGACTCCAGTGATACCAACCAATTGTCTCTGTTTTCGTAACTATTCATGAGCTGTTCTGCTCAGATGGTATTCAGACCTTCTAGTGCATGGCTGGAGTACCGTCCTCTGCACAGTCCAAAACCAAAGGCCATTGCTGGGTTCTCCCAGCCTGGTCAGCCAGCCAAAACCATCTTGCCTCAGGCTCAACGTTTACAGTAGGAATCTGAATGTTTTGTGCCCTTGCATATCCTGTCATTCGATTTTCTTTACTCACCAAGTTCTTTTCTTAAAATCAACTCAAGAGATGTGCTGGTGTGGGATTGTCTTTAATCAGTCTTATTTGGTTTTGTTCATTGTGCTGTGAGAGTGTATGTGTGCGCAAATGATCAGGTGTAAAGGTGCAATGTCATTCTTTTCTCAGAACGGGTTTATTTTTTAACGGTGGTTTCTGACCGAATAGTGGAGTGTCTAATCAGGCACACTTGGGCTTTGCAAGTGTTGCACCTTTAAGCTTTCACAGTCTGGGGCCTTGCTCACTGCATGCGTGTTGTGTGCACTTTGTTCCTGGGCTGCTGTGGAATGCTGTGCACGTGACGTTTGGACAGTAGTGTAGCCTGTGACTAATCAAGACTTTGGGAATGCTGATTGGCTGTGATCACACTCGGGGGCAGGTGAAAGTAAAAGAAATCACAAGGCTTAAATCGTTTGGTTGTCTCAGAACTGCAAACCTTCCTGAGAGTGCTTTAAGTGACGGCCCTGTTACAAATAGAATAAACAACATTGTCTTGCATATTTATGCTGTAAAGATCGTTATTGTTTTAAAAAAGATGAGGGCTGATGTTAGTTTTTTATAGGATATTCATTGGCAAGGAGTAGCTATGGATCTTGGCTCAGGGCAAAAATACAGTAGAGACCTTGTGATTTTTCCTACTTTGGCCCGTTTCTCAGTACAAGCATTTATTGTTTCGCAATGTGGAATGCACTGAACCTCCTCCTGCTGTCTCATCCGGATTGCAGACCGGCTGGCGTGGGCTGGGTACGCAGTTGACAGCTCTGTGTGTTCTCCGCAGGTGTGCGCTGTCGTGCCCCTGTCCTACAAGCACCTGCCGGAGCAGAACTGAGAGGCTGTTCCACCTGGACACTGGACAGGACGTCTGCCCACCCGGCGCCCATGTCGTCTTCCTGCTGTTGAGCTGTGCTGTGGCACTGTCTCTCTGTGCCACCTGGGGCTGTGCCCCTGGGATCGCATTTCCAATGTGCTCCTCTCAGCGATGCAACATTACTCACCAACACTGAGTCAGGAATTGAGTGAAAGGAGCCACGTTCACCACTTCACCACCACCAGAGAGATCCTAGCTGGTACCTGGATAGCAGTGTGGTTTCATTTGGATGTTTGCTGAAAACTTTACCACCACTGTTCATAATGACCTCTGTCCTTTGTTTGAATAGAGGGGCGGAAGGTGTTTTTCTGAAGATCTAATGCAATAAGAGCTGAGCTGATGGGCCCGGCCTACAGCGCTGTGAGCAGCTTCATGTTGTGCTGCAAAGGTTTTATAGGTTATCGTCCTCCATTCCCAGAGTTCTCCTGGACTAGAAATGCATGGCAGGAATTCCAGCAGATGCTAAGTTTTGCTTTAGCTGCAGGAGGATTTTTTTTACTAAATTTCTAAGGCGATGATTGTCACTGGCGCAAACCACACCGTTAGCTGGGGAAGAGGTGACTGGGGTCCCGGTTTCCTGCCGGGTTGCTCTGTTTTGGGTACGAAGTGGTGCCTGAGGGAGCACGATCCTCCCGTTCCTCCTGGGTGGAGGCCGGCACAGCTGCTGTGGCTCGGTGGAGTGGGCAGTCCTCAACGCCGATTCCGTTCTGCCTTCTGTGACCCGAAGCCAATGGCACAACACACTGCATGAGCTGTACAGGAGAGTGAGAAAGTGTGTGCGCGTGTGTGTGTGTGCATCGACCCGACGAACTCCATTTCAGCCTGTACTCGCCCTCCCTTCCCGGACTCGAATGGCACGTGCGGGGTTCTGCGGGGGTCCGAGATCGACGGGAGTGATGCAGAGGGTGAAAGGGTGTTCGGGGGGCCATTGCCCTTGTGGTGCGAGGTGCCTTCCTCTTTTCTGGTGCGGGGCAGTTGGGGTCTCCTCTGGGTCTAGGGCCGTGACCTGAATCCCCCCGACTCTTCTTTCTCGCTGCTCAGAGAGCCAGTGCCGTTTCATGCCGGGTTTCCTGTCCTGACAGGGTGGCAGACTGGCTCTCCGTGTGTCTCAGACTTGTGTATGAGCCCGATGCCCGGACTGCAGGGGAGAGATCTGAGCCCCCGAGAAAAGAATAGGGCAGGTGAGGAGACGGTGTGAATGTGGGACAGGATGTCGAGTGAGTGAGTGAGAGGACGAGTCCATGGCTTTTTAACCTGTGTCCTGCGTGGCGTGATGAACAGGGAGACTTCATCCTTCGGCTGTGTTCTCATTTTGCCTTGTGAAGCCTGTGGTTCTGGAGGTCATCTCTGTCCAGTGGGGCTCCGGGTCGCTCGGTACCAGGGCGCTGGCACGGGGCTCCAGCAGACACTGGGGTGCGCCCTGTCGGTGGCGGAGTTTCCCCAGGGGCCACCCCGAAAGGCTCGTGGGAGGGCCACTGCGTAGGCATGTGCCTCTCCGCGGGCAGCCCTCAGGCTGTCCTTGGTCCTGTGGACAGTGCCTCAGGCGGCACGAGCTGGGGCCTCGTTAGCTTTGTTCTGTGGTTTCATACATTCCATCTCTGTACAGAGCTTCCTGCATCACTTCACACCCTAGGGAATGATTGTCTTTACTTGTGCATAGTCTTCTTAATTATTCACGTATTTATTGACATGTGTAATGTTTAACTATTTTTTATTACCGTTGATGTTGTTTTATTTTATTTTTTATCAATATGGATTGATCAGCCTGCACCCGGATTCCTTTACCAGTTCACCAGTGTGAATGCTCTGACCCCACCTGCACTGCCCTTTAAACCCCGCCCTGCTCCGTTGTGATAGGCTGGCACAAGGGATGCTTATGAATAATGTATTTAAGGTGGGGCGTGAGCTGCAAGACTCTGCTCCTCAGCGTAGAGATGAGCACGATACAGGAGAATTAGACACTAAAGAAAACAGGCCAGGGAGTACTACTTGCTTTAAAGTAGTGCCATTTAAAAAGGTCATCCCTAAAGCCGCAGTATTGGAGCCGTCGTAGCCAAAGGTGTCAGGAACATCTTTTGTAATTGGAACAAATCACATCTTGGGGGAGGGGGTGGTTGAAGGGGTTTCTTCCCGAGGATTAAAATGATGCTCGGGCAGTGGTTCCAGGAGCAAAAAGGGATTTGATCTCGATGCTACGACTTGTCTTTGCACATGTGGAACTTCAGGTTCTGATCGAGTGGGGGAACAGGGCAGTTTTTATTGACCGCGCCTGAAGGCTGTAAAGGAAGGGAGGGGGATTGTGCTTTCTTCCCTGGCCCGGCTGGACCTGGACACGCGTCCTGCGTCTCTGACAGGCTGGTCACTCCAGAGCAGGGCACCTGCGGTGTGGTAACGAGTGCGTGCCGAGTATGATTTTTAAGAGCGTTCAACATGCTCTGGCATCACCTTTGCCTGATGAAAAGATCCACGGGATTTACTTGTATTTTTAATGCAGCCTTTTTTTCCAGTGATGTTTTGTAAAAAAAAAAAAAAAAAAAGCAGATAAAATGGAACTCCGAAGTGCTCTGAATGTGAAGAGCATGTGTTTTTAATGGTGCGGGGGGTGGGGTGGGGTTTCGCGATGCCGTCACGGGCGAGTCTCCTCGAGGTGCACGTTCTCGTTCTCGCCAGCGCGACCCGTTCGGAGACGCATGGGGATGCAGGAGTCGCCTTCGGACGGCCTCTCACTGCGAGTCTCTTCAGCGCATCCAACCTGGAAAGCCTTTCAGTAATAAAAAAACAATACAGTGAAAGGCTTGAGTCTCTCTCTCTTTTGTTTTGCATTCTGTTTATCTCCTGTTGATCCGGGTTCATTTTATCATCCTGTTCAGTTTTGCTTCTCTGGTCTGATCCGTGTTGGTTTGAATGGCGTTTGCCTTAATTTAGATACCCCTCCTAGATACACCTGGTCCTGTGTCTCTCACAGCTGCCTTGCTCCTCTGCTGGCCCCCGGCCTTGTCCTGAGGAAGACTTGAACCAAGTCCAGCCAGCCTGAGCTGCCCAGGGTTGGGGGACAGTGTGCCTCAGTTTGTGCTGGGCGCAGGGTGAAAGAGGGCTTCTGAAACATCGGTAAAGGTCACAAGACCGCGACCAAGCGAAACTGTGTGAGAGGGTCAGAGTGGCTCACCAGGTGAGTTCGTCACGCCTGACAGCAGGTTCAGTCTTCCTCGGGCGACTCTGATGTAGTTGGCTCACCAGCTGTGGCTCCAATGCTTTTCATTAAGCTTGACCTTGGCTGTTTTTTGTTGTGCTCTGCTGGAATCTCCCACATGTACTTTTACATTTGATTTTTTTAATGCAGGAAGCATTGATGGAGATTCAAATATATTCTCCATATCACAATACAAATGAATAATAAGACAAAACAAATTGTGAATTGACTCAACATATTACAGGATTGTCACTGTCAAACGGTTCTGTTAACACTGAATGAAGCAATTTTATTGACAACTAAGAAGAGACTACTTCAAAACGTAAAGTATTTCTGACTGGGATATTTTTTATTGACACTTCTTTTACTCCTCAAATCGGTAAACTGACCAGAACAAATTAAAAATGAGTCAGGAAGAAATAAACTGAGCTCTGAGGGGCACAGGGCTGAGCCTCGTGGCTCAAGGCTCTTTGCTGTAGTGCAGG